GGACAGACTGTCACCACCCCCTTGAGCCTCACGCTTAAACACTGGTCAGACGTAAAGACACGAGCCAACAACGAAGGAGTCGTAATCAAAAAAAAAAAAAAATAGATCACTCTTTGCGAGGCCAATTGGGTTAAAATGGATGTAAGATGGCCTCGTCAGGGAACCTTTAACCTCAGTCTTATTTCACAGGTGGAGGGAAAAGTTTTTGCTTCCAGTCCCCATGGCCACCCGGACCAGGTCCCATACATTGCCATGTGGAGACTCCTGACAACAGAACCTCCCCCATGGGTTAAGCCGTTTCTCTTCCCCTCAGCCCCCCGGCAGCAACAGCGCTCGCCGAAACCCGGAGCCGAGGAAGCCAGAACGGCGGATCCCTCCCACTCCCTGTTCCTCCCTAACCCCACACCAACAAGTCTTTTCCTCTCCCCGCAGGCCGCCGCTCAGGCGCAGGCGGGCGCGCAGGCAGGCGCGCAGGCAGGTGCGGGAGATGGGAACGCGCAGGTAGGTGCGCAGGCGAGCGTGGGATGTGGGAACGCGCAGGCAGGTGCGCAGGCAGGTGCGCAGGCGAGCGTGGGATGTGGGAACGCGCAGGCAAACGTGCAGGCGGGCGCACAGGCGGCCGCAGGTTATGGTGCCGGCGCTCAGGCGGGGCCGGGGATGGGATCGGCGGGAGACTGCTCCCCGACCGGCAAAGGGCCATTACCGAGTGCACTTCCTCCACTATGGCGGTGTGCTGGTACCGGCTCTGGGACGACTGGGGAGCCCCGATTTGAAAAAGGGGGCTCAGGAGGGACGGCGCCACTCATGAGCGCCAAACCACCGCTCCCTCCCGCCTCTCCTTCCTCCTCCCTTTACCCTGTTCTCCCACGAAAGGATTCCCCTAAGGCTCCTGTCCTCCCCCCGGACCCCAATTCACCTCTTATTGACCTCCTCACAGAGGACCCACCACCATACCCAGGGAATCGGGCACCGGAGGGACCGGTGGCCCCTGCAATGGCACCGGAGGGACCGGTGGCCCCTGCAATGGCACTGGAGGGACCGACGGCCCCCGCGGAGGCGCCTAAACAGCCTCCAAGGAGAGAGGGGGAAGATGAGACTCCGGCTCCCTCCCCAATTGCCGGTCGCCTACGAAAAAAGCGCGACGAGCCAGCCAAGGAGTCCAGAGCCTTTCCCCTTAGGGAAGGTCCTAACCACCAGCTCCAATACTGGCCGTTCTCAGCCTCTGACCTCTACAACTGGAAACAACATAATCCCCCTTTCTCTAAGGACCCTGTTGCCTTAACTAACCTGATTGAGTCCATTTTAGTGACCCACAAGCCCACTTGAAAAGATTGTCAGCAGTTACTGCAGACCCAAAGCAGCGGGTCTTCCTGGAGGCTCGGAAGCGGGCTCCAGGAGATGATGGAAGACCCACCCAATTGCCTAATATCATTGACGCAGCCTTTCCCCTCACCCGCCCGAACTGGGACTTCGCGACCCCG